TTGGGTGACCCCCCTGGGGGGAGTCCGCCTTGGACTGGGGCTGGATCCCTCTTTCCCGAGACCGACTCGACCTTGGAGTCCGAAGACCCAAAAATGGCGCGAATTAATCCTGGACGGGAGTGAGCGACCGTTCGTGAGATAGAGTCAGCCGAGATAGCTGGGAGTGACGGGTCGGTAATAGTAGTACGACGCCGGGAAGACCGTGATCGAATTAAGGTCGCCCGGACCACTTCGCTGTCGCCACTCGCGGTATCATCATCAGGGTTCAGAGAAGGTACCAAAGGTAGACTTTGGGGGTCCCCGACTTGGGCGCCGACGAGGCGAGGGTACTGGGGGTGCTGGACTTGGCGGCCTTAGGGACCTTAGCGGTCGCCTTGGCCGGTGAACGCCGAGGTCGCTTACCTGTCACCGCGATGGGAGGTACTGCGATACGCAACCGCGGGAGGAGCCGCGGATTCTAGAAGGGATTCGTGCTGTAATCCACGTGCTCCAACTCCGCCATAATGAGAGCGTAGCGGCTCTGGCGGTAGTCCATCCGCCACCGCAGATGCTCCGTCAGCGGCCTCTCTTGCTGGAGTCCTTCTCGTAACTGAACTACAAGGCGGTGGGTGTCTTGCAGCTCTTTTTCGAGAAGCGCACACCGGGTAGTATAGTATGCGTCGGGGGTGAGGACCGCGGTAGGTTGACCTTCGCACGCCTCAAGTCTTCGGCTATATGCATCTTAACGGTCTTGCAGATCGCGTAGCACCTGAAGCGTGTCTACAGGGCCGCCCATCGTAGGCGGAGGAGCACTCGACGAAACAACGGGCAAGACATAGGCGACTGTCCCCACGGGGTCCACTACAGCAGAAGAGCTAGAAGTCGATTGAGGGTCATCTACGTCTGGGGGACCCTCACCACCTGCGACCTTAAAGGAATCACGGTAGACTTCCTTGGCCCAGGCACCTGGAGAGGAGTGTCGATAGGTGTTTAGGAGGGAAAATGGGCGTCTGGATCAACGGCAAGCGCAGGAGCATCCAAGACCGACCCCTCGGCTGTTGAGTTTACCCCAGAGGAAGGAACAGCTGCGATGCGTCAAGTCAGACAACGAATATAGAAATGCCAAACAAACAAGGAGTACTTACGGGAAAGAGAAGTCAAAGACATGCGCGTGTTCGAGCGGCTGTACCGTTGATCAAGTGCAGAGGGCGGCTGTGGTGAAGCGTGTCAAGGTAGGTCATAGGACGGGTGGGTCAAAGATAAGGGGGCCCATCAAAGAGGAGCGACGGTTAGGAAAGGGACAGAGAGACGGGGCGCTAAAAAGGGACGGGAGACGACCGTTGAAGGAGGAGAATGTACGGTTTCAACGTGCTCCATTTAGAGGAGTTGACCGCGTTTAGTCCGATAAACCGCGGTTCCTCCAGGTAGACCCCAGTCTTTTCAAGGTTGACACTGGTCCCTCGTTGGTAGACCCTGGTCTTTCGTGGTAGACCCTGGTCCCTCGTTGGTAGACCCTGATGTCTCGAGGCGAACCCTGGTCCCTCGTTGGTAGACCCTGGTGTCTCGAGGCGAACCCTGGTCCCTCGTTGGTATACCCTGGTCCCTCGTTCAGCCGGCCTCTCGGTCCCTCGACAAGCAGAAACAAGAATCAGGTCTCGGGGAAACGATAGAGTAAGGAAGTGTAAAGATAGGAACATGTTAAATACTACTCAATTTACGATCTATATAGCACACCTCCGTCGTGCTTCTAAGGTACCTACTAAGTCTACCCGCCGGTTCCGAAAAGGGATTCATTTTGGCCCCCGTCGAAGACAGTGTGTGGTAAGACCCAAGTGCGAATAGAACTGCAGGATACATTCGGCCTGTGGGTTCGTCTGAGTAGCACCCCCAAATCGACCCGCTATCGGAAGCGGTCTCCCTACTAGTGGTCCGGGAGCAAGTAAATCCCAGGCGGTTATCACATATAAGATATCAGGAAAAAGGAAGGAAAGGGCCACGGTTGAGAGCCTCCCCTGAAGGATTTGGTTATAAGTCCACCCTCGACTTAGTCGGCCGAGTGGACACCTACCCGCCTACCGAATGAAGTATACCCACTCGAGGCACCCCAAGATCGACCTCTCTCAAGGCCGACATCACATCTCAACCAAGTCCTCCGAAGAGTGCAACCCGCCAGCCGGGTACACAAGGTGAGAGAAGGTCTATACGCGGCATCGGGGTACCCCCTCCGACAGTCGGCAGTCCGGCACAGTGAGTGGCTTGAAGTCTCATTACGCAGTTTTGAGAACCCACATATATAAGCACGCGTTATTTAATGATAAAGCTTTATAAGCAAGTTTACGACACTTTGGGGCTTTATATAAGCAAGTGTTAATAATTTTGTGCTTTAAGCAAAAGTAACACTGTGGGGCTTTATATAAGCAAGTGTGAAACACTATGAAGCTTTATCAAAAGTGTAAAACACTTTGGGATTATATAAGCAAGTGTTTTAAGCACTTAAAGGCTTTATAGAAGCAAGAGTTTAATACTAAGGTGCGGTACAAGCACGTGTTAAACATTTAGTTGCTTTATAAGCGAGTGCCGAACACGAAGGTTCCTTAAAAGCAAGTGTTTAGCAAAAATGTGCTTTATAAGTAAGTGTTGAACACTTCGGTGCTTGATAAGCTAGTGTTACACACTATGGTGCTTTATTAGCTACTGTTCGATACTATGGTGCTTATACGCTAAAGCGAAGCGAAATTGTGCTTTATAAGCAAGTGTTGAACACTTAGGTGCTTCATAAGCTGGTGTTAGACACTAATGTGCATTGTAGCTAGTGTTCGCACTAATGTGCATTATATATAAGCTAGTGTTAGCATTACGGTGCTTTGTGAGCAAGTGTTACACACTTATATGCTCAATCGCTTATAAGCAAGTGTTTAAACACTGAAATGCTTCAAAGCAAGGGTTTGTAAACACACAAAGGGTAATAGTACCAAGTGCTTGGCGCTTAACGCTTATAAGCAAGTGTCATAACACTATAATGCTTTAGCGTGACTGCGATGCACTGTATGCTCAAGGAGCAAGTGTCATAACACAAGGATGCTTAGAAACCGTGTGTGCAAAGCACAGTTGCTCAAGAAGCAAGTGTCAGAATACTAAAGCTTTGTTCGCAAGTGCGAGGCACTTATTGCGAGGCAAGCAAAATGGGAAGAAAATAAAAATCGATGCCTACAATTAAGTGCAAAAATTCGTGGGTACGTCGGGTCCCACGGGTTGGTGGGGGGAGGGTGTAACGGGGTTACACGAGGGTATGTATTTTACATGTATTTCACACCTGCCACACCAATGTGGTGTGGCTGTACAAAAGTAGGTGATGTGGCGTACTTGCAGACGTCGAGATATGGGATGCTTGGTATCGCGTAAAGACGATATGTTTTTGGAACTAGCTTGAGCGAATTTCAAAACTTTGTTAGGGTTGGACACGGGAAAGGAATTTGGATTTTGAGGGAGCGCCGTGGTTGTGGCATGAAGAAAGACCGCAATCAGGACCGCAAGGATGCAAGCAAGACGCATTGTGATGATGGTGTGGGAAGGACAACACGCAAATAATACTACGTTGCTGTTTAAGACCTACGCGATGTGGCTAATTTTGGAACGAGTTGGTGCTAATAGGTGACTCAAGGTAAAGCTGTGGTTGTTGAAAGCGGCCGTTCCTAGCTAATGGTTATCTAAAAGTGAGTAATAACATTGGATGGCAAATAAAAGAAGCTGCAGGAATAGCGACAAGATGAGCTACAAACATTTGACAGACGGCCGAAAGTGCTTCCTTGCGCACGAGTAAGTCATCGGAGATTAATGCTAATTACGAATATAGTTTACATGTACTTCTACCTTTACTCTAACAACTATAAAGTCTACAACCCTAGACGTCAATCCAAAAAATGACTAGTAAAGCCTAAGCGCTTTATGAGTGTAGCTGCAGTAGCTTTTCGTGCAATCAAGTGAGCTGATGTAGTTATGAGAGACCTGATCTCCTGCTATTCATCGGCAAACAAAAACAATTACGTGATGCAATGTGTTAGGCTAGTCCTAACAATTACCATGTTAAACTTTCTAAATTATCCGTGCCGAATACAAAAAAGTTGATGGACCTTGAGATCAGTAAATAGCTGACTGAACTTTTTCGTAAAGGGTGCTCGCAGCACTCCATCAATTTTGGATCTGTGTAAACCACACAAAATTAAAACTAGATCTTAGTAAATGTACACAACAAGATTATCTTGTCGTTATATAAGCCAACCCTTTTTGTGAATCGTTGCGTTGCCCCGATTTAGGAATTCTGGTACATTTCCATCTGTCACTCAAATTAGGGCAGAACGTACTAGATTAACTAGTCAATAAGATATGTTTACTGGAACGCAAGTTATGTCCATTACATTAAATAAACTGAATTAGGAATAGGTAATCATTCCAAAACTAGACTATTTGCACTTGGTTATAAGAGTAACATGTCTATCTAATCATGAATTGATGTGATGTATCATCGGATTGTCTTGTATTGCCGCAACTTCCAACATTTCATAATGCTGTCGCCAAGGATTCGCACCTTACAACGTTCTGGATAAATAAGTTAAGCTTCGGATCTTTGGGTGGTAGTGAAAGCAGTTAAGAGCACGATTTACTGTAGCGCCTGGCACCTCATCTTCTAGAAACGGACCACCGCTAGCACACTACAGCATCACGATCTAGACAGAAAGTGCAGCGCCGTTGGCATTAACCCTTGATAATGCAGCGTCTTTACTGTCGCAGGGCTGCTAATATTGTTGCGTAATTTGAAGCATAGCTTTCGTAGCCGCTCGGTATTTTTCACTCGACCAGCAACTAGATACCGAAGCCAATACCAAGACTAAGCAACATCAAGTTATTGGCATCAATAAAGGAGATGCGCTCAACGCATAATCTGTTGCGCTCTACGCAGCTTCTGTTCTGCTTATCGATCTAAACTTTGCGATTTGTCGACGAGCTGAAGCAATCACCTCCTCTTATTTGCTGCGTCCAAGATCTTTTGCCGTGCGATGCGCGTACAAACTCCACTCCATCTTTGCCTGCGTAACTACACAATCCACAGAGTTGCCAACAACGACGATAAGCTCACTCTCATAGACAAACAAACAAATTAATAAACGAACGAACCAGGCATGACGCGACGCATCTCCTTGAAAGTTTCTTCGGACATGTTGCTGTACATATCTTCTAGATTCGTCTGCAGGTTGTCCTCAGCTTCCTTCATAACACGCAGAATAGCGTCGCCAAGATTGCCTGGACTTTGAATTGTAATCTCTTCTTCAATATCTTTGACACTTTGCAACTGCAAGTTCCCGTTTTCAAAGTAGTGCACATGTAGCTGAATGGTGCCCTTTACCGTAGCTGGATTGACCGTCAAGTCTACTTCCCACCGCGACTTCCACCGTCCTCCCCAAAAATTGCGTAAATTGACACGTTCCGTGCATAAATTCACTATCAGCTTTGTGCCCACGACGTACACACCAGCAGTTCCTCTACAAAACATCAAAAAGAATGTCAATAGCGCTATGATATCATCTGTTTCATGTCCATATGTTTGCTTACCCGTGCATGTACTCAAACTGCAGGTAGGATCGTAACGTTTGCTGCACTTGTTGCCTAATACCCGACAAGAATAGTATCATTATGATCCAGTCAACTTTAAACAGCATCATCATATAAATCTTCACAGGTTTCTTACCGCTCTTTCTCAAACTCTGTGACACGTGGTTCAGGTATCTCTGCAATATCTCCAGCTATAATTTGCTGATTCATATGGTCAAAACCCAGCACACGGTTCCCAATTGGATCAATATAATGAGCATCGTCAATTTCTCCTTCCTCGCATATCAAAATCTGAATATAAACATGCATATTTCAAACATTAATAGCCTCTATCTCTTCATACTCATTTGTTTATGATTCAATATGCAATAGCATACCTTATAGTGTGCATCCGGTACCTCCACTGGCAGAAAGTTCTTGATGTTATAAGCATGCAAAACGCTCTGCCGCACCGTGTCGGAGAGAATATGTCCCGGTACAAGCTTTTCTATATCTCGTAGTACCTCGTAAAATTGACCAGGAGGACTTGCGAGCAGAAATCGCTGTGCAATCTGTAGTTTCTCCTCATCGGAAGCTTCCCACTCTTTCGCCATGGTTAAAAATCTTCAAAAATATTAGAATTGACAGGATTACACAATGCTATCATTGTAGCATTTATCACGATTAAGCAAATATCAATTATGACAAGATTACACGAATATGTAGCTCATTATCTCGTCACATAGTTTAAGTATACCATCATCTGTCACAACCTTTCAAGATCCATCTTACTGCCCCTGCGCCACCCTCAGAAAAACCAAGCGTTGGTAGCAGTACACCAGCTTAGCGTGCACATTTTGATCGTAATTTCATCTTTTTGTAAGCCTCTGAGCAGTTGTATGTGGACAGTGTACACATGGTAAAATCCGGACTGACTGGCAGACCAGCTGCTACTGTCTGAGCTTTTAGTCTACCACTACATTAGCTTTGTATATCGTTTCCATCCTGACCAAACATGCAAGAATGTTGTCATGACAGCTGCACGTGAGGGAGGAATATCATTTAACATTAGTATAAGACAAAAAGCCTTTACATTGACGGAGGAGATGAGCACACAGCATAGTGGTGGTTTTTTTGCACCACATAATTTCACATGAAAAAAGCCAGATTAAGTTCACATAATAGCTTCATTTCTTCACCTCAAAGCAGCAGTTCGTACCCTCACGTTCGATGAGTCATCATCTTAAAGCCCTTCTTTCATAGCCTCATTAACAATTACCAGTTTGACCGACCTTGCTACTACCACTGCACATGTAAGGCTACTTTTTTTGACAGTCTACCGCATTCGGTGATTTCGGTCTTGAGCTTATATGTCTGCTATGCTTTAGCGATCTTGCGGCTGAGAGTTATGCTGAGTCAGTAATCAAAGCTTGGCCTTGACTTCAAGCTTGATATAAAGTCCTAATTTAACGTCATAAATTCGATCATACTTAATAGATATGTTTATGATGTGAACGACCTCTAAAATGGAACTTTCAGCGTCAAAAAGATTTAATGGTATAATTCCAATTGCTAAATTTTGTGCAAAATTTTACATTTAGCCATCATTTTGTTATTTTTTTTCGTCAACCCTCTTTTTAGAATATGTATAATTTATCAGGATATTTCCTATTTTTTGCCATTTCACTCGAAAACGAGATATTTTAGAATATTTGCGAGTAGTTTTATATAAAATTTAAATCGTGGGATACAACACATCATACTCAGCACTGGTCTGTGATTGGATAAATTCACATTTGCATGGATTGGTGGAATATAAGGTGGCCTGCTCCGCCATTCAATCGTAGTCAGCGCTACTGCTGGGAGCTCTTTCACTGTTCAAAGTCGATTTCTCTCCAACTCATCTCAAAAAGCAAAAATGGTAAGGTCGCTGTTGCTGCTAGAATTAGGACTTTATCATGATGTTGTACCTATTCTTGTTCCGCTCTTTCTTATCGTTCCAATCATGCTTGCTGCGTGATATATTGTCACTTAAGCGCTACGGAATGAAGTGTTGCACGTAACGACTGTTTACATACTTAGACATCGTTATAAGACAGAAATTGCGGCATGAAAGAGAATTATTTGAGCATGAATATGCCAAGAGTCCTGCAGATGAGACGTTTACACGGGTGGCTGACACTATGGCGTGTCTGGAATGTGATGTGATCTATGTAGGGCAAGCGGACCAAAAAAAGTTGGCATTTGTGGCAAGTACGGCACGCGCTACGGTTCATCGCTTCGTAAAGTTGTGAAAAAGATTGAAATATCGCAGCATGCCAAGTACAATTGCGTATTTTGTGGCAAGGACTCAATCAAGCGAACTGTAACGGGTATCTGGCAGTGCCGCTCATGTTACAAGACCATTGCTGGTGGCGCCTACCTGCTGAACACGGCTTCTGCTGCTACGGTGCGCTCTACTTTGGCTCGTCTTCGTAAGATTCGTGATGACGCCTCGGCCTAGAGTAGAGAGATTGTCATGTCGACTAGGATCTGACTGAGATTGAGAGAAACGGTCTACCCTTGACGAGAGAAAACGACCATTGGCCAATCTGGTGGAAGCTGCGGGGACTGATCGAAGAGCCGACTCTAATAATTAAGTAATGAAGCAAAAGCGGAGGCTCAGCACGCCACCATTCGGCCACCACTCAGTGCCTAGTGAGTTGTTTGATTGACTACACTGCCTTTGTTGCGCTGCTTTTTCAGGTGCTTGTAGTGGCGAGGTTCTGACAGAGGTTTGACTCGTTGGAATCTTATCTATTAGTATCAGCCATACTACAGGATGAAGACATGGCAATGCTACCGGTCAAATGATGTCAGCGATTTCGACACATAAGCAAGCGGGTACTGTGTTCGTGTGTTGCTTGCTACCTATAAAGCTCCTATCTTTACTTACGAAGTTTAGAGATCGCTCACTGGCCTCCTGCCTCCACGAACGACCATTGTCAGCTAACGGAGAGCAATACTAGTGTAGGTGCATAGTCGTTTTGAGTTCGGAGCTGACGTTCATTGTTGCCTCTTTGCAGTCACTTGTCTTCGTCTCTTCAAGTTTCCTTCGTCAAAGCCCATCCACGATTGTGTCTCAAAGCCCAACTAACTTATATGATAGCACGCACAAAAATGGTCTCCTTGATCTTCTTGAGCTCGCGTGTTACCACTTTGGCGTGGAACTTCTCCACTTCTGGGTCCGAACTGCAGATACTGCGACGTCCCGTTAATGCCGTAGTCGGACAGCACCGAATGGATCTTGCTCAACACGCCAGGCACATTATGGTGCATGTGAAGAATACGCATGGAGTTGGTGCGAATGGGCAGCATGTCAATCTCCGGCGTGTTTGTAGACGTTGTTGTAGAGCCTTCATTAATGTAACGCACCAACTTTGACGCTACTTCCACTGCAATGTTGGCCTGGGTCTCCTCCGTGCTGCCACCAATGTGGGGAGTGAGGATCACGTTTGGTAAACCACGCAGGAGCGTATCAAATGGCTCGCCATTCTTAGCCGGTTCCTTGGGAAAAAACATCCACAGCCATTCCAGCAATCTTGCCGCATTCGACAGCGTTTTTGGCAGCAACAATGCCGAGGACCGTACCACGTGCATTGTTGACCAATGAAGCACCATCCTTCATCCGTGCAATCGTCTCACGATTAATCATTTTGTTCGTCGTTGTTGTTGCTGGCACGTGGAGAGTCACGGCATTTGCCATCTCCAACACCTCCTCTAACGAATCCACTTGCCGTGCATTACCTAGAGGCAGACACTTTATAGGGTCGTAGAAATCCACCTTCATACCTAGAAGTTCTGCCAATACCGATACTTGAGATCCAATGCGTCCATAGCCAACGATGCCCAAGGTCGTACCACGCACTTCATGAAAACCAGTAGCTGACTTAGTCCAAACGCCCTTGTGTCGTTTCATAGCTGTAACGTCCAAGAGCACTACTTTCAAAGCTATTACATTGTGTATCAACGTATTACAAAAGAAACAATCTTCAAATTATCATGAAATAACGTAAGAAGTGGCAAAAACATTTCTCCATTCATGGCTAGTCAAGTATACTAGAGACATTATCCGTATCAAACAAAATATAACGAAGTTGCAAAGATACTAGCAGAACTGGTTTCATTTTCTTTCCTCTACTCAACGTCGTACTTGGCCTTCAGGTCCTGCAATTCCTGCTTTTGCTTGTCAAAGTCAACGGCCGCACTCTTGCGTTGTTGCATCTTATTAGCCTGGTAATAAAGAACAATAAGATACCGTCCACAGACATTGAAACCTGATAAATGGTCCACTGCGTTCTTAGCATCGTAAATGTCTTCATAGACAACAAATGCTGTCCCTCGGGTGTCATTATTAACGCCCATACGAATCTGTCGTATCGCTCCGTACTTGCCAAAAATGTCATAGAGTTCTTCAGATGAAATCTTGAACGGAAGATTACGGACGTATAACACACGATTTACTTCAGGAGGAAGACGCGCGTTACTTCGACGACTTTGGACGGACATGGCGCTGCAGGAATAATATTTTTAGTCGTAAAGTGTCGTTTTCAACAATATTTACGAAATATTAAAAGAAAGACCGCTCTAGCTTTTACCATTGAAAACACCACGCTTTACATAGACTAATGAATTAATAGGTATTTCGTCTAAATTTGATAATTTTAGTATATCAAGAACGTCTTATTTATAGAATCTTGCGAAAGAGTCCTTGTGTTCTAACGGGGTTGTCCAATTTTGTCTTGGTGTAAACGAGTAGTCTACTAAATCTCATACACTCTTAACTGAGGTCGAAAGGTTGCTATAAAATCTGCCTGTTACAATCAAGGCGCGTTCTTCAGCATATTGCAATCGCTTTGCAAACCCGAGTTGATCTACTGCTGAAATGTAGAAGAACGGCCGCTTGACAAAGCTCTTTGCAGCGCAGTATATTACTAAACATTGGCACTATCATAAGATGTCAGTGATGTACATCATCATTAAATATCCGTGTAAATGATATCGTACCTCAAAGTGGGCCACACTCCAACAATTAGCTGATAAGGTAATGACATAAGCCAACTCGCCGTTGCCAATGCATGGTTAGCACTTAAACCAACATTGATGTTAGTGGTTTAAACTGATAGAGATTGGTTGATGCTAATTCATATACTTGTTTGAACAAACAATTCTCCGTTATAGTATGACAATGCGTTACCGCATAATTGTCTTGCGATTCCTCTTACCGTGTACGCAAGATTTCAATGTTCCTACTTCTTCTGTTGTCAGTGTAAGTAAGGTAGTATAGTCAAAGGGTGCCTTGTTAACAATACGGTATTGGCATTGTTTGACTCAACGATTACTGCACAGCGTCCCGAGATAATGCACGTGCTAAAACCGATCGCTATGATGTTTCAAAATTAAATGCAGGGTCAACGGCAAGACTTGTTACAGGTAAGGTGCATCCACACTAGGTTGCCTGACACTGGCCATTACTAGTGCATGCGACTAAAGGTTTTATGGGAGACAGTTGCGACGGTCACAAAGGCCAAGCTGCTGTAATATTGCATTCTCGCCGCATATGCATGTAGTTGCATGTAATTAGCATTAGCAGTACAATATGTATAACTTGTGATTCTACCTACTGTATAACATGTGCACGATATACTTCTGACAGGTTATGAGCCAAACAAAAGGTGTTGGCGAAGAAGCCGAAATAAATGTAACAGCCATGGCAGCTGACGGTCACAACCAAACGTTGACTACCTTTCAAACAGGTCGACGATGCCTGCAGCAGTACTTAACAAAAAGCTCATATTTTTTGAGGACTTGTCTGAGCGCATGTGCGAGATGCAATTCTTACACGCTGATCAAGCCGGACAGCAACAGAAGGTTTTCTCGAAGTCTAGTGTTTTCGTACGTGTTTTTTTTGAGGAGTTGCGGCGAGGTAGGCCGCCAGACCTTTATAGCTTACCCATTTTACCAAACAGTTATCGTATGTCTTGCAAGCCATCTATTATAATGCGCAGCGTCCAGCTGTTTCTAGAGCCTGGCGCGACCGCCGGCTCAAGGTGGCAACATTTCCGATGTACCTCTACAAAGATTACTGCTCGATGTTGTCTCGTACGTTGTGAACGTCGCCACGCTGAAGGCAAAGGTTAAGCGGTACCAAGAGGTTAAAAATATTGTGAAAAAGTAAAGATTGTGGGAATGGTCTTATTGCGGGGCGATCCAATAATCGTGGTAGATCCGAATTACACGTGATTGGTCAATAAAGCGATTGCACGGTGTGGACTACACAATTCGGATTGCGATCGTGCCGGTAGCGTAGTGTGGACCACACACACACCGTATCGCAATCGCGTTCAAGTCGTCAGCGAATTGGAACGCGTGGTGTAAGCCACACACTTCGGATCGCGATTAGCCTTCAGCGAATCGAATCGCGTTGTGTGGACCACACACCCCAGATCGCGAATGCACGCATGGCTTTGGTCCTGTCATATAATTAGGCAAGATGTTTTTTTTCGGGGTCATTGGACACAGGTTAGTAATTTGCAACTAAAGGCACAGGTATTAATGTTGCTTAATTAGCCAGAGGTTGTGGTTTACCTTAGGCTAATTTTAGTATAAGTATTGGTAATGCATAGGTAACATCTAAGGCTTGCGTGTTTTTATGTTTTCCGGGTTATATTGTTGGCCACCCGTTGAAAATAAAGGGAGTACACGTGCGCACATCAGAACAGGTTTGAAACTGATTTATATTGATGTTTATCTTCTAACACTAAAATATAAAAGCACCTATCCTATACTTAGTGCTAGTCACTATTTACTGGCTCTATAGCCTGTTATTATTATGCAAACATGCATAGTCACTATACTATGAATAAGTATAGTGACCACGTGGCTCTCTGCCACGATGCGACACTTTTGTACTCAAGGTACAGCCACACCACATTGGTGTGGCAGGTGTGTATGTACAATACACACCTTCGTGTAACCCCGTTACACCAAAGGTCCATGACAGGTGTACCTCACTTCAACATGTGTAAGGAACACTAGGTCATAAGTGCCCTAGGCTAGCTCGTAAGCTTGTGCCTATCGACATTAACAACCGAGTCTCAGAAAGACTAGTATCAAAGATACAATTCCTATACGGGATAGAAATGCTCAAGCTGTAAGGCTTACAGAGCAGGTTTGAAACTGATTTATATTTATGTTTTTTTTATCTTCTAACACTAAATATAGAAGCACCTATGCTATACTTAGTGCTAGTCACTATTACTGGCTCTATAGCCTATTATTATGCAAACATGCATAGTCAGTCACTATACTTTAAAATAAGTATAGTGACCACGTGGACCCTTCATACTTCAGGTACGGTCACATCACCTACTCTTGCACCCTAGGTACACATTGGTGTGGCAGGTGTGTATGTAAAATACACAGCTAGAATAGATGCAATGTCACAATGACGTATTTTGGGAATGTGATAAAGTGACTTGGTTGTCCATCTATTACAACTTAGTCGACGCGCATGTCGTGATGGTAGCTCCACAGTAGCTTAGTGACGTACTATAGTATCCAACGATCCGAAAGTGAATCACGAATGATGGGGGGCTGCGCTGCTTGGCATTTATGTGTCGATAATATACAATTGACACCTAATACTAGTGTCAAGATTGTGTAATGGGCTCACTTCGCTACAATTAGTCAGAGTCTCGGCGAGTCAAACGGGCGCCAGGAGCGATGAGTGGAAAGCCTCGCTTGCGCTCTTTTATCTTCACATTTCTACGTTATTACCGTAGTCAGCACAGTATCAAAATAAACGGTGCGTTTCACAACCTCACACACGGCACATGTAGCAAATCCACATCTGAGGATACGGACGCATCGTGCCATGATCCTCTCGTCGATCGTACAAACTTATTGGCAAGTAGCCGACACGTGTGCATTTCCCAATTATCTAGCATCAACTCACAATGAAGCAGTTGACAATTTGGAAACAACCATCTAGCTACGATGAAGGTAAAGCGGAATCCTCTTACGATGATGATGATGATGCGCATACCACAAAGCAAAAACCACTGGAAGACGAGAAGCCACTTGTGTACTGCGAAGATGAGTCTATGGGGTGTACTCGCCCGCCGCCGCTATTAATGCAACATCCGATAGCTGCCTGGGCACTAGGAAGCCTTGGTGTACAGTTTGTTTTGGTGGTAAGTCTAGTGGTCCCAGGCGGCACTATGCGCGGCGCTCCGAGTGTGACTCACTTAACTGCAAAGACAAACACGTGTATGGCGATGTTACCCAGTGAAGTTCGCAGTCGTATTGATGAAACAGTGGACCCGTGCTGTGACTTTTACGCTTTTTGTTGTGGCGCATGGTTGAAAATAGTAAAGATCCTAGTCGAGGAATCTCGTGTGATCTTGTCCTTATCTGCTGTGGAAGCCGAAAACGAAAAGGTGTTGATCGACATGATGCACCAAGGCTGGTTGCTGCTGGGTGGCTTGTACGAGTCGTGTATGAACGTTAACAACACCAAAAGCCCGACGGCGGACGATGTGTCGATAAGGTTCTTGTCGCCGGTGTTGGAGCAGATTGCTGCAACAAAGACAAAGATGGAGCTGTCTCAATTGGCAGGAGCCTTATCTAAAGCAGGACCAAATTTGTTGACAAATCTCTATGTCAGTGGGGATGATCCAGAAGTCGATGTGTACGTGTTGTATGCGTCGCAAACTGGACTTTCTATGCCAGGTCCAGAATATTACTTAGACCGCAACCAGTTTGGCTCAACCCGTGACGCATTCCATGCGTATGTGATGGAGTTGTTTCGATTGGTTGGATTGGAGTTGCGTGCAGCAGCATCCCGAGCTTCAGCAGTGGTTGCCTTTGAACAAACACTTGCACCGCTTTTTGAACAGGAAGAACAGTCCAAAGATTCTGCAGCACCCTTCAGCCGTATGAGCGTGGCTCAAGCTGCTTCAAATACCCATTACTTTTTTCACGGTTTTTGAATGGCACAGGTTTGCTTCAAAAGCTTACAGCTCAGGACGTCAGTTTGGTCATTAAAACGCCCGCATTCTTCGACCGCGCTGAAAAGCTCGTGACTGGAGATTCTGTGACTTTGAATACCCTGAAAGTGTCTGACGTATAATTATGTTGACTCCTATAC